TCCCACCAGATGTTTCTGGCCTTTTCATCTAGAGAGGGCCAGCTGGTGTCTTCACAAAACTCCCTGTGGTTACTCTCACCTATGTGGATTTTGCCTTTCTTTGAACGTTTGGTTCAATGAGATGGGCCCACATAGTTTATGAAGCAGTAAGAAAATGAGACTTTGTCTCTCCCTGGATAGACATAGAAGGCAAGGACCGTGTTGTAAATGTCCCCATCACACTGGCCATCTGACAATTCTAGGAACATGCTAACCCTCTTTCCCCACTTCAGTGTTTGCAGTTGCTGTCTCTCTGTTCCTCCAACTTATCACAGCCAGCTTCTTCCTGACATTCAGATCTAGCTTAAATGTCACTTCCTCGGAGAGGCCATTCCTGACCCCTGTCAGAAATAACACCATTGTTTCTGTCTTGGCATGCTGCTTGTTTTTCTTATACCCTTTGCCCCAAGCTTTTCTCATCTCGTTTCTTTATACATTGCTCGCCCACATTTTCTACTGTGCCTAACCTCCTGGAGAGCCTGTCATCTTCACCTGTTTATCCCTAGAACAGTGCCAGGGTGCTCACTAAATGTTTGCCGAGTGAATTAATGAGATTGAATGGGATGGGGATAGAGAAGGGGGACAGGAGATGTGGAGAACTGTTGCTTGTATTTCTGGTTTGGGAAATTGAGCTGGTGGCATGTGGTGCTCATGAACTGAGTGGGATTTCTGGAGGAGTATCTGTGGGTGAGGAGGAGTGAGTAGAATATGTAACGGTGTTAAATATATGGGCCTGGAGTTTAGGAGTGATATTGAGGTACCACCCAGATAACAGTAATAGCTAACATGGTTAGATTTATGGTTAAAACTTTAAAAATAATAATAGCTAACCTTTATTTTTTAAAAAGATTTATTTTAGAGAGAATGAGCACAAGTAGGAGGGAGAGGGAGAGAGAGAATCTTTTTTAAAAATTAAAAAAATTTTTAAAAGATTTTATTTATTTGAGAGAGAGAGCGCGCACACAAGTGGGGGTGGGGATGGGCAGAGAGAGAAGCAGACTCCCCACTGAGCAGGGAGCCTAAGGCGGGGCTCACTTCCAGGGCCTTGCAATCATGACCTGAGCCAAAGACAGGTGTTTAACGGACTGAACCACCCACCCACCCAGACTGAACCTCTCCAGGCATCTGGAGAGAGAATATTTTTTTTAATATTGTATTTATTTATTTATGAGAGACAGAGAGAGAGACAGACAGACAGACAGACAGAGACAGAGACACAGGCAGAGGGAGAAGCAGGCCCCCCGCAGGGAGCCTTACATGGGACTCCATTCTGGGTCTCCAGGATCACACCCTGGGCCAAAGGCAGCGCTAAACCGCTGGGCCACTGGGGCTGCCCCCGAGAGATAATCTTAAGCAGACTCTGAGCTGAGCCTAGAGCCTGACATGGGGCTCAATCTCATGACCCCGAGATCATGACCTGAGCTGAAATAAAGAGTCAGACACTTAACCAACTGTGACACCCAGGCGCCCCCAATAGCTAACATTTATTGAGTGCTTACTCTGTAACAGGCAGTGAGCAAAGTGCTCTACATACATTTATACCTACAACATTTAAGACCTAAAACAACCATTGGACGCAAAGATACAAGGATTCTAAGCATTGGATAAGCTGCCTGAGGCCACTTAGCTAATTAGTGACTCAGGATTTGACTCTAGGTCATCAGTTTCCAGAGTCTCTTTCCCACTGCACCACTGTGCTGGAATGGCATGTAATGGCCCCAAAACCAAGATGAGTCCTTTCCCTTTGAGGAAATAAAATATATGTATGGCAAGTATTTCGTTAAAATGGCCATTTAGTGTTGGGTACCTCCTCTGCTGATTCCAGAAGACTCAGTCTCATGTGACCTTCACAATTAAGAGGAACTAAGGATGTTAGGAATGCAAAATCATCATTTATTTTGGAAACATAATTTACAACCCTTTATACCTGACTGCAAAAAAAGGAGCCTGAAAGATCACAGTAAAAGCCGAAGAAGATAGTGAGCAGGAGTGAGTCAGGGGACGTTTGGGATTCCCAGAATGATGGCTGGATGGGATTAGAATATGTGTCAAGAAATATATGAGCAGCAGGAAGTGAAACTGCACCCAGTGTACCCATTGGCTAATTTGAATAAAAGGGGGTAATGATTCCAGTTTCTTGTGGACTCTAGGAGGCAGGGCTTTGTGCAGACAATGACTGTGCAGAAGCCAAGCCAAGCCTCTAATTTTTGAGGGTGGCTGGTTGGCCTGGAATTAGGGGTGCTTTACTCATCTCCTTTACACCCTATTGGTGAGGGAAGGATTCCCACCCTAAGGTAATGGAGATTGCCAATGCATGACATCCAACAGTAAGTCAAATGATATTGGCAGCAGTATGTATGTATGTATTTATTTATTTATAAATATTTAATTTATTTATTTGATAGAGAGTGAGACAGCACAAGCAATGGGACTGGGAGAGGGAGAAGCAGGCTTCTTGCTGAGCAGAGAGCTGGATGCTGGGCTCCATCTCAGGACCCTGGGATCATGACCCGAGCAAAGGCAGACACTTAACTGACTGAGGCTCTCAGGCACCCCTTTGGCAGGAGTTTATTAGTCATATAACCACAGCTCGGGGAGGTTGCATTTGGGAACAGAGTGAACAACCAGAGGTGGTGGGAGGCAGGATGCTTTGCAGTATCAAGAGGGTGGTGTGCCCTGTCCTTCCCACAGGAGGATGTGATTGTCTTTTGGATAATTCCACGGGTGGCAGAGAACTTAATCCCACTACTCAGGGGTCAGCAGGAAGTGCCTCTGCTCCATTTGCTAAAGAAGGTATTTATCTAGGTGACCTTTCCATGGGAGTAGGTTGGAGAGGGAAGCTTGCAGGTAAGCCATTCTAGACCTACTTCCTGATTTCATCAGATGTCAAGCCATCATGTAATATTAGTGGCTGGTATGCTATAGAATGAGATACATCAGCAGTTCTCTTGACTGCCCATTGTCTCTAGATTTGGCACATTCTTACCCCTGACCTGAACCTTTAACAAATGGTCTCAGCCCCACCAAGGAACAGGAAATACTCTAAAAATCAAGGCACACTAGTTTTTCCTCCTTTTTTTTTCTTGCGGCTGTTCTTTCTGTGACTTCCCAAGATGAAGAGGAGGAGAGCAAAGAGAATCAGCTCAAATTTTGCTGCATATTTGTGGCAAATGTTTCATGGAGTAGGGAAAGACTGAAATAAAAATTAAAACTATTTACCACCACTTCTCGTTCATTCTCCTGCAGCGATCAGAATGATCTTTTAAAAAACAAATATAATCTTACCAGGCTGCTACTTAAAACCCTTCCATGGCTGTCCAGTGATCTTAGGATAAAGACAAAACTCCTTGCCATGGCCTGCAAGGCTCTATGCAGTCTAGTCCCTGCCTGCCTGTCTTGTCTTATCTCTTACTTTACTTTCTCTCATTATCTGTAGAATAGGCATTCAGATCTCCTTTAACTTCTGTAAACCTGCTATGCATTTCCTGCCCCAGGGCCTTCACACATGCTAGTCTTTCTGCCTAGAATGCTCTTTCCTACCTTATTCACCTAGTTACCCAATACTTACCCTTCAGATTTCAGCTAAAGGGCTGCATCCTCAAGGAGGACCTCTCTGATCCCCCTCAAATGGTCAAATTCCCCTATTTTAGGCTCTCAGAGCATCATTTTTTCTTCTTCATCATGATTCACAAGATGCAAATTTAAATTTGAATTATTTGATTAATGTTCATGTCCTCATGTCTCCATGACAGTAGCAACATTATCTATCGTTGGTCTCTAGTGAGTGCCTAAAAGAAAATTCTTTTTCCTATCCTCTACTTGTAATACTTCTGTGGCACCAAATTTTTATGGGGTTTTCCCACACCAACCAATTCTCCAACTCTCCAGACACCAGCTGAGTGTCCTACAATTCAATTGTGTTATTAACTACTGGAGTTAGCCTAGACCCCATAGGTTGAGGCCTCTATCCCACAGGATTGTCCCCCACTTCAGATGCTAGTCACAAGTCCCAGCTGTAACCTGTATTTCAGACCAACTGGCTGTAAATTGAGGGTTCCCATAATCCCCTTCTCAGGTTCAATCATTTGCCGTAATGGTTCATAGAACTCAGGGAAACTCTTGTTTATATTTACTGGTTTATTATAAAGGGTATAATGATACATATGAATAACTAGACAAAGAGGTACATAGGGCAAGGTCCAGAAGGGTCCTTAGCACAGATGCTTCTGTCCCTGTGGAGTTGGGGTACACCACTCTCCCAGCATCTAGATGTGTTCATCAGTTCAGAAGCTCTCCAAATCTTGTGATTTAGACATTTTTAATGGGAGCTTCATCATATGGGCACAATCAATTATTAATTTAATTTCCAATCCTCTACTCTGAAGAACTTGGAACTCTTAGAAATCCTAAGTTCTGACCATGGCTTTGTCTTTCTGGCAACCAGTCCCTATCCTGAAGTTAAGAGCCTACTAAGCGTTTCCTTGTTAGAACACAAGACACTCTCATCAGCCCAGAAATTCTAAGGGATTTGGGAACTCTGTGTTAGCACCTGGGAGCAGAGATCAAATACATATCTTTTTTTTAAAGATTTTATTTAGGGATCCCTGGGTGGTGCAGCGGTTTGGCGCCTGCCTTTGGCCCAGGGCGTGATCCTGGAGACCCGGGATCGAATCCCACATCAGGCTCCCGGTGCATGGAGCCTGCTTCTCCCTCTGCCTGTGTCTCTGCCTCTCTCTCTCTCCCTCTCTCTCTTTTCTCTCTGTCTCTCATGAATAAATAAATAAAACCTTTATTTTTATTTATGATAGTCACAGAGAGAGAGAGAGAGAGAGAGAGAGAGCAGAGACACAGGCAGAGGGAGAAGCAGGCTCCATGCAGGGACTCGATCCCGGGACTCCAGGATCACTCCCCGGACCAAAGGCAGGTGCTAAACCACTGAGCCACCCAGGGATCCCCTCAAATACATATCTTTTTTTTTAAGATTTTATTTATTTATTCATGAGAGACACAGAGAGAGAAAGAGAGAGAGAGAGAGACAGAGTCACAGGCAGAGGGAGAAGCAGGCTCCATGCAGGGAGCCCGACATGGGACTCGATCCCAGGTCTCCAGGATCACACCCCTGGCTGCAGGCGGCTCTAAACCGCTGCGCCACTGGGGCTGCCCTCAAATACATATCTTATTATGTCATAGTGCCTCAATGACTATATGTTGAATGAAAGTGTCAATGAATGAACTGTGATTTGGGGATCTTCTGAGAAAAGGAAGTAAAAGGAACACTTTAGTAATCATAAACCATACATTATTTTTTATAATCGAAACATTGATACAATATTTTATTATCAAAACATATTATCTAGTTAGGACATGTACATTGGCAAACTAGAATTAGTAAGTTTAAAAACTGGTACCCTCTGAAGAGAGAAATGAAAGTTCATTACCAATTCTACATGAAACCAGTCAATGTGACAAGAAAGCAGATCTCTAATACAGACACGAAGTAATGAATACTGGGCAATTACCATATAGAATAATGTATTTAAGTACAAGCAAACATCCTACAGAGTGTGATTCTCCTTGGGATGTCTTTGCTGATGACATTATTTTATGCAGTAGACTAAAAACAAGATATAAATGTGATGCATGTTATTGTAAGAAGTGTCAAGACATTTTACACATGGATGACATAACACATCACCCTCTCACTTAAAGCATCTGTGGGGAAGGTGAAGGAAGATAGGTGGATCTAATGACTAATTGTCATTCTAAATTCTGACTCCATTTGGGGCCCCCAGAGGTGATAAAAATACACTGGGGATAAGGCACACACGCACAAAAAGGTATAAAGTCTTAGATGTTTATCAGAATGGAAACCTGTAGCTCATACATAGAATTCTAGGAGTAAAAATTTAAATTCTGCAGAAGTCATATGTAATCCACTTTTCAAATATATATCATACATATAAGAAGTCATTTATAATTTACTATCTCTGAAAGGTTGTAAAAATGAAATTTCAGTCTGGCCTACCATATTCCTGAGTTTAAAGCCAGATAAAATCCTGGATCAAAAAAAAAAAATCCTGGATCAAAAAAAGAAGGGTTTTTCCCATATTTACTTTATGTGAATATAGTAAAAAGCATCTGGTTTTTAAAGGTATCAAAATGGTACATCTCAGAATACGCATTTAAAAAAACTCACAGTTCCTTCATCAGTTACAGTGTTTTTTTTTTTGTTTGTTTGTTTTTAGTTACAGTGTTGAATAGTGGTCTCCATTTATTCTTTAAAATAGTTGTTAGGAATAATCAATTCTAATACCAGAAAAATGAAAAGGAAATCCCAAAGAAGGATACTAAAACTTCTGACTATCCATTTTCATATTCTTAGCAGTTGATGTACAGAAATGGTAAAGGTTTGGGTGTGAGTTACTTTTTAAAGTAGCATCCAGATTGCATCCATTCTAATTGGCTGCAAAGTACAGGGTGTTGAAGGCATAAACTTGGCCTTTTCCAGTTTTAACAGCAGTAGCTACTTCCAGTTGCAGAGATAGGATGTATATTAGAATATATCAGGTAGTTCAGCAGTTAGTTTGGATAGATTCCAGGCCTGGTCTGGTGGGTTACCTGATTTGGTCTGCAGCTTTGACAGAGGTGCCAAATAGAAACCTAAGCCCCTGTGGGGCTTCAGGGGTGGTCCAAGCTCCCTAAAAACCTTAGAACCGGGGGATCCCTGGATGGCTCAGCTGCCTTCGGCCCAGAGCGTGGTCCTGGAGTCCAGGGATCGGGTCCCGCGTTGATCTTCCTGCAGGGAGCCTGCTTCTCTCTCTGCCTGTGTCTCTGCTTCTCTCTTTCTGTCTCTCATGAATGCATGAAAAGAATCTTAGAAAAACAAACAAACAAAAAACCTTAGAACCATGGAAAGTATGGGCTGAGTCTATGTTCCACTGAGTCAGGCTTCCTCACTGCCCCAGAGTGTTGCTGCATAACAAACAACATAAAACTTAGTGGCTTAAAACAACACTTTTGTTCTGTGCAGGGCATCTCATATAGTTGCAGTCCTATGTTAGCAGGGTGTGGAATCATCCGAAAGCATCAGTACATATCTGAAAGCATATGTACTGAGTGGCTCTCCCATGTCTAGTGACTGAGTTTGTTTGGCTTGGAAGCTGGGAACTGGAGGCATTTCTGTTCTCCATGTAGCTTCTTGAATTTCCTCACAGTAGGGTGGTCTCAGGATAGCCAGACCTTTGTATGGGGGCTGGCTTCCTTCACAGCAGACGTGGGACAGGATAGGAAGTGGAAGCTGCCAGCCTCAAGACCAAGACCCCAAAGCTGGCACAGTGTCACTTCCACTGCTGGATAAAGCCATCAGAACTGCCTAGATACAAGGGGAGGAGACATAACTCTCAGGGACAAGTGCCAAAGAATTTGTGGCCACTTTTTTTTTTAAGATTTTATTTATTTATTCATGAGAGAGAGAGAAAGAGGGGCAGAGACACAGGCAGAGAAAGAAGCAGGCTCCATGCAGGGAGCCCGATGTGGGACTTGATCCTAGGACTCTAGGATCACGCCGTGGGGCGAAGGCAGGCGCTAAACTGCTGAGTGTGGCCACTTTTAATCCTCCCATCTTCTCCAACCAGCACCCAAAGGGTTGGTTCATAGTTGTACATTTTCCCAGTGTGGCCTCAGAAGGAGCTGCTTTGCATTCATATAGCTCTTTGTGCATTAGCAAGAAAGTGCACACTCTCTAAGTTTCTTCTCCTGATGTCTCTGTGGAATAGCAGGTTGGATAGTAAGGCAGCTGAGGCACAGAGTTAAAGCCCTAGGATCATACAACTTCCCAGGGATGGAATTGAGGCATAGATCTGAATCTCTTGACTCTCAGTCCATGCTGAGGGATTCTAGTTTACTTGTTGGGTTGTTTAGTCTGCTCTCTGGCACATCTAGGGCTGCAGGAGAGGAAACACATCTCCCTTTGGTTGAAAATTTGGCCACAGATCTTTGCAGGTCAAGCTCAGGTGCAAACAAAGGGAACGTTAACATGCTTGCTCAGCCCTGTGCCATCAGTAAGGACTCCTGAAGCCACTGTACTGGCCTTCACTCTTGGGAAATTCTCTCCGGATCCTCCAGCGGCAGCAGCTGGGCAGGATGGCAAAGTCGGCTAGGTCCTGGGAGCCAAAGCGCCAGGTGGTGTAGCACCTGTAGGCACAGTGCCGCAGCCGGCTGTTGGAGTTTTCATCCAGCACCAGCAAGGGCTCCTGGTAGAGCAGGAGGAACTGCAGGACCTGTCGGGACAAGATGAGCTTCCTGAACGGCTCTGAGGTGGTAATGCAGGCACCAGCCTTTTTACGACAGCACAGCTCTTCCAGGCATCGCTGGCTCTCGGGGAGCTGGGATGGGAGGCAGTGTCCACACTGGCACCAGTCTGGGCTGTTGCTGGATCTAGGGGTCGCTTCTTCACTTAACAGCTGCATCTCCTCTGATTGTCCAGGAATAGGGGACGGGTCATGGAGAGACAGGGACAGCCTGGACAAGTCTGTGAATTCCATTGAGGGTCTCTGAAAAAGTCAAGTTTCCAAACCCATCAGCAGTGACCACCCCTAAGGTTCTAGGTTCTTTAATTTTGTTATTAACTTATAACATTACACTTTGTCACATAAACATAATGGCCATCATTTATTAAATGTATGTATCAAGAACGTGCTAGTGTTTTATAAACTCACCTTGTTTAGCCTTTGAAGAATCTCATGAGACATGTGTCCTTATCTCCTCCCATTTTACAGATTTGAAAAGTGAAATTCAGACAAGCCAGGCCGCAAGGCAGGTATAACCTCTTCATGGAGACCTTCTTGCCCTGACCACCTGATCCAGGTGGTTCCCTTCCACCCAGATCACTCTCTTAGCACATCATGAGATTTCGTGTTCTTCACAGTACTTATCACTATCTGAAATGATCCCACTAATTGATATGTTCTCTTGATGATTCTTCTTCCACATGAAAGCAGGGGCCCTGTCTGCTTTGTTACTGCTATATCCCCAGTGCCTAGGACAGGAAGCAGCACATAGTGGACAGTAAATATTTGTTGACTTTGCTCTACTGCTTCCTTTTCCTCCAGCCTTCCTCTTTTAGCAAATCCATTTGTTATCCTCCAAGAGAAGGCTGCCATAATTGACATCATTTATATCTGTTCTTTGTAACAGAGACCTTCATTCACTGGACAAAGATGGAATCAGCACATTAAAAGAAATAGTTCTTAAAAAAATAAATAAATAGTTCTTGTACATGAGCAATTACAGCAGTACTATTTTACAATAGCCAAAGGTTTGCACCCCAAATATCCATTAATGGATAAATGGATAAAAATGTTATGTTCAAAGACTGTACTTTCAGGGATCATTTCTATAGTTTGTTAACAATGTTATGTCCATATAGTGGAGTATTATTCAGCCAGAAAAAGGGGAACAGTGTACTGACACCTGCTATGATATGAACCTTGAAGACATTAGGAAAAGTGGGAGAAGCCAGTCACAAAAAGGCAAATACTGTATGATTCCGTTTATATGAAATGTCCCCAAATAGGCAAATCCATGCTGACAGGAAGATTAATGATTGCCAGGGACTAAGGGGAAGTGGGTGTGAGGAATGGCTGCTGAATGGATGCAGCATTTCCTTTTGGGTCAATGAAAAAGTTGTGGAACCAGATAGTGAGATAGCTGCACAGCATGTGGATAAACTTTTGAATTTTAAAGGTTTTATTTATTTAGGAGAGACACGGAGAGGTAGAGACATAGGCAGAGGGATAAGCAGGCTCCCTGTGGGGAGCCCAGTGTGGGACTCCATCCTGGGACTCCAGGATCACTCCCTGAGCCAAAGGCAAATGCTCAACCACTGAGCCACCCAGGTGTCCCTGAATTTTGAATTTTAAATGTCACTGAACTGTACACTTTATAATGGTTAAAATGCTAAATTTTATGTGTATTCTCTACCCTGCCAGCCTCTAGTTCACATTATATCCAAACCCAACAAGGACATTACAAGAATGGAAAAATTCTGGCCAGTCTCTCTCAATAAGAGACATAAAAATTTATAATATTAGTGAATCAAATCCAGCAATAAATACAAAGAGTAATATATTACATTCAAATTGATTCTACTGTAGGAATGCAAGGTTGGCTTAATATTTGAAAATCAGTTTGTGTAATTCACCACATCCATAGAGAAAAGAAAACTCATTGATTGTTTTTTTAAAAAGCAGAAAAAAGTATTATTTTAAAATTCAGTATTCATTTATGATAAAGATTCTTAGCAAACTAGAACAGGGGAGACTTTTCTTAATTCAATAAAGCATTCTTTAAAACCCTACAGCAAATATGATAGTGAAATGTGAAAGCTTTCTTCCTGAGATAGGGAATGAGAAAAAAAGATGTTTGCTCTTATCATCAGCATTGTAAGAGTGGTTCTAACAGGTGAAATAAACACCAGGAACTGGAAGAGGCAAGGAAGGAGCCTCCCCTTGGGCTTTCAGACAGAGCCCTACCAACACCTTGACTTCTGACTTCCAGCCTCCAGAAGTGTATGAGAATGAATTTCTGTTGTTTTAAGCTACTTAGTTGTGGTGATTTATTATGGAAGCTGTAGAAATAATACAGTTAATAAAGATGTCCAGCAATCAGAGCTGCTGAGGAGAGTGGGAATTAAAACACCCCCTTTAGAGGATGGTTTGGTAGTATCAAATGCCTGCCTTCTGACCCAGCAGGTCCACTTGTAGGCACCATATGTTTACCATGGCGGCATTTCTGCGTGAGCTCCAAACTGGAAACTACCAAATGTCTATCAACAATGGAAGGGATAAATATATTGGATGTTTATAAAGTGGAAAATATACAACAATGGAATGAACTATTGCTATATGCAGTGTCATAGATGACTCACAAAAACAATGTTGAGTGAAAGAAGCCAGACATTTCACAGAGTATATGCTGAGTGAGTACATATGGGATTCAAATTTTATAAAATTCTGGAAGAGATAAAACTAACCTTTGGGTATAGAATAATGATGACATTTAAGGGAAGGTAGTGGGTGGAGACATGAAAAAGGCTTTTACTAATATTCTGGGTTACATGTACTTACTGTGTTAAAATTGCAATTTATACAAATTTGTAGCTATATTTATATTTAATAGTAACTTTTCTTTAAAAAAAATCAAATGTTTTAACTTACTGGGACTTTTTCACCTTTGACATCTTGTAGACGTCTCCGAAGTAGCTGTTGGTCCACCATCCTAATGTGGGCTTCATCCACAAAGGACACGTATTTTAATGTCTAAGAAAAGACAGTTAAAATTTTTACCCATTTTTGTACAGAATTATCCACAATCACATTCCTGAACATATCTAAAGGCAAGTGTTATTCCTATTTACCAAATGACAAACTGTTAGAGAAGCTGGCCAAAAACTCTTGCTGGCCGAGGATGAATGATTTCTGAGTCCAAAGGTAAATCAGTAGTGGAACTCGATGTACCTTAATATGTGAGCTCAGAGTCTCCATAGCTTGCTGCCTGATATTTTTAGGTCTTCCACATGCTATGTCAAAGCCCTTTCTTGTATCTCCTCAATTTGAGTTACTCTTGATTGAGTATCCCCAGAAAATGTGACTATTGCAACTTAAATTATTTATATTTTTGTTGACTTTCATCCCATCTTGGGCTTTTATTTTTAGTTGCAAAATGGTAATTATTTTTAGTTGCAAAAATGCACTTTTATTTCATATTGTAGAATACATGTACAGTGACCAGTGAACCGTGCATTCAGCTGCTGGGAAAAGGACAGCCATATTCTTATGAGGGAAAGACAGAGAAAGCCTCTTTATTGTTTTAAGCACTGGAGATTTCTCCTTGATTGGGAGAAATAGTGGAATCAAGGATAGGAGACCTGCTTGGTAGAACCCAAATTAAATCAAAACAATGCAAATGAGCTAAAATTCTATTTGACTAGTCCTTCATTCTAGGCTCCTTTGCAGAAGGAATCATTGTTGTCACTTTTGTGTATCCAGTGCCTTTTTGTATACATGTTATCCTCCCTATACACATTCATGCATGTGTATAATAATAAGTGTAGAAAATATATAGAATATATAAAATATCTAGAATATATGTGTGTATTTGTGTGTATATATGTACACATTTACATATAGAAAATATGTGAGATTAGTTCATATGTGTAGTTGTCTTTTAACCTATCTATCATAGGGATCCCTAGGTGGCTTAGCGGTTTTGTGCCTGCCTTTGGCCCAGGGTGTGATCCTGGAGTCCCAGGATCAAGTCCCACGTCGGGATCCCTGCATGGAGCCTGCTTCTCCCTCTGCCTGTGTCTCTGCCTCTCTCTCTCTCTGTGTCTCTCATGAATAAATAAAAATCTTTTAAAAAAACCCTATCATACCATATATATTATTCTATAGTTTGCTTTTTTCCTTTCAACAACACATTTTGGATATTTGTTCATGCCAGTACCTCTAACATATCAGTTATTAAGATGGATTCTGAAACCAGCCTGTCTGAGTTAGAATTGTAGCTCTTCCATCTACTAGCTATATGACTCTGGGCAAACTATTTACCCCTTCCTGCACATCAATTGTCTCATCTTTAGAAAGATATTAGTGTATATTTATAGGGTTGTCCTGAAAATTCAATGAATTAATATATAGAAAGCACTTTGAAGAGTTCCATAAATGTTTGCTCTTATTATTATCCACATCATTCTTTTAAACTGGTGCTTGGCACTCCTCGCTATGGACTGGTCATAGTTTCTCTCACCATCCACCTGTTGGACATTTGGCTGGATATTCTTTCTTCACTGTTACTAAAGACAGTGCTGAGGTGGATTTAGTTACATGGCACTACTGGGGCACTTAAGTGAGTGTTACTTGCGGATTGGCATGGAGAAGCGGAAATGCCAGGCTGTAAAGCATATCCCACCTAAGTATTATTAGATACTGCCAAATTGTCTCCAAAGTCACTATACTATTTTTTTTTGGCTGCACCAATTTAATAAATCTGACAAAACTGACAAGTCCTAGAACATAAAAATTCATTCTCCCTCTTTCTGGCCTCTTCATTTTGTTTCTCTTCTTCCCTAAGACCAAAGGATTCATCTGAGAGATGGTAGATCAGGGTAGAGTCCAGAGACTTGTCCACTATGGGATGACACCTGTGATTTTGGCCTTATTTTTGCATAAAATACACCTGACTCTCGGGTATTTTGGCACCTACTGATTCAGTGAGCCTTACCGGCTTTGGCTCCACAATGGTCTCACACTTCTTCTTGTAGTAGTATTCGTTGACTGCACAGTATTCACAGCACTTGAAACAGGGATAAATGTGGGATCGACAGCATTTACTCGAGTAAGTGTTGATGAGAAAGTCAATGAACAGAGTGGCCTAGGAAGAACCCAGATCAGTGCCAGTTAGTGAGATATCTTTTTCTTTCTTTCTTTCTTTCTTTCTTTCTTTCTTTCTTTCTTTCTTCTTTCTTTCTTTCTTTCTTTCTTTCTTTCTTTCTTTCCTTTTTTTTTTTTTGCCAAATCACTTTCCTAAAGTGTGGGAAAGAGAACCCCTTACCAAACCAAAGTAGGAGAGGGTTGAGCCAATGTACACGACCAACTGGATAATGTCAAATTTTCCTCCCTGAAAACAAAATGGTAAAGATTACTTAGTTGACATTCAGAGCAATGGCCTTTTGCTCTACCATGTAATTGTCAGCTCCAGCAGATGAGAGAGTCCATGGCCATGACTTCAATAGATCATGCAAGGTGTTTATGGCAACAGATGCTGCAGACTGAAAATAGGAATCCCATTCATCCTATTTCTGCCTTCTGGGATCCGCTCGAAAACATAAATGTGTTAAACAAAGAAGCACTAGAACCCACACACTGAGTTTGTTGTTTTCCCATACAAGGTGAGAATTTCGGGCAAGTTTTCCCTAAAAGTGGTTTGAGATTACCTTGGAAGCAGAGGGAAAGAATATCTGCACACTCTTCCCTTAGGTGTCCTCATGGTTTTTCTTCTCAAAGATCTTTCCATTCTTTCAGCTTCTATCTCATCGACTCTTGTGTTGCTTACCACCATATGACATAACATATGATGTAAATAATACAGTTTTGGACAAGGCATTATGGGCATCTACAGATTTTTGCATGCCCAGAATACCCTCCCTCCTTCTTGTGGAAACAACACCCAGTTTTCCTTCAGAAAACCATATCTGTCCATGCTTGGTCCAAAGAGTTTGAGGGAAAGGGGCTGGGTCAGGGCAGGTCCAAGGCCATTAACATTATGGTGTGACCTAAACATAGTGATTAGCACAGGGCATGGGGCCCATGTTGGGCCAGTCAGAGCCAATGGTATCTGCCTGAATTCTTTGCCAAACCTTTTATAGCAAAGAGATGTTCTTGTTTTATTGAGATTGCTGGACTGGTAAAGGTATAAGGAGCTGCCTGAAATCAAAATGTAGACACAGCCAGCTGAGGATGATGCCAAAACAGAGGAGAACAGACGTAAGAAATGAGGGGAGGAAGATTCTTAAGGATGTTGTTTGAATATTCAGCCATGCCCGAAGCCTGAAACTGCCCCTGGATTTTTCAGCTATGTGAAATTAAAGAAAAAACAAAACAAAAACAAAACAAAAAACAAAAACAACTTTTTCCCCCTAAGCCAATTTGCATTGGGTTCTTTTACTTACAAAGTGTTTTGCAAAAGGATTTCTTACTTTCTCTCTTTTTTAAGCATCGGAGTATTTTTAAAGTTGAATATTCAGTGTTTTTCCCCAATCCCACTCTTGTACTCATCAGTTGACTTCATCTTGGACAGGACCCCAAGGACATTTCTTCCCCCTCTTATCCCACATGTGAGATGCACAGTGCCAGCTAATGACTATGACTGAAACATGTACCCTTTGAGGCACTACAGCAGTAATTAGGACACAGTCGCAGGAATGGAGGTGCCAGTGGCTGGGAGCAGAGACTTACGGTGCCAAAAACCAGGATGTCAAAACGGATCCCAAAGACTTTTATCAGAGTCCGTTTTTCAACGTTGTTTTCCTTATAGTACTTGGCGTATCTGTAGGAGGAGAAGGATCCATGTTTAAAAGATCTGTGTGAACATGCTGGTATTTCATGAAAGGAAAACCCAAAACAGGAGCCGAGCTAGTCTTACTTGTTTATCTTCTAGTTCTGCTGCAGTTGGCAGAGGGAAGAACATTATTCAAACCCACAAATTACTCTCTTGGAACCAAAGCACCACTTCCCACATTGCCTCCTCTTCTTCCACCATCACAGAGTGGTACAAAATCTCCTTTCCATTTAAGATGAAAATGAACAATTTTTAATGAGTACAGTATTAACAATAAGCAGAGAAATTTAAAAAAAATAGTCTCAAGCAAATCTGATTATTTCTTAAGAGGGTTTGGCTTCTAGAACAAAGTGGGGTGGGGATCTTGGCTACTAATTGGTGGATTGGGGCTAGGTGCCCCTCAGCAATCTGTTCTAATTGTATTTTCTTAGATTCCGTATTTGTCTGTGTGCATCTATTACAACAGGGCCAAACTAACAGCCACAATTGTTTATATCTTCCTTGTGATCCAGCTTTTGCAAGAGCCTGAAAATCATGTTAAAGACCCTCTGCTGATCCTGAATCCATATCTCCAACCACCTTTGCTTTCTACCCTCACACATGGAGCCACTATTTCCCCTGCACCAGGTCACCCAAGGCCAGGTACCCAAAGCTAGCACCTGTAGCCCAGAGCCTGCTCACATTACTCAAGCAGGCTGATTCTAAGCTGTTGCCTGCCCTGCCTTGCCTGTCCTATGGAAAACACAATGAAGGTTCTGGGCCATGCTTTCCCTTGATCATTCCACCTCCTGACCAAACCTGGTGCTTCCCCTGTGGCCTTGTGTGGCATGGTGTGCCCCTCCTCTTGGGAAATATAATAAAGTTCTTTCAGTGGCAGTGACCTCTCTGCATCATTTCTTAGGTATATTTATAAATTAAGACTCAGACACAAATCACAACCACCCCAAATGCGTAGCTCTCACCAGTGTTGCAGTCAGGAAAAGCAGAATGTTTTGTTTTCATGGAAAATTAGGAAGGCTTAAACCACATGCGTCACAAAACTTTTAAATCTGTCCCTCCCTCTTACCACCTTTTGGAGGTTGTTTTTAGGTAAGATATTTTCTGAGTTACTAATTCACAGTCTATTTACAGGTGTGGAGAGAGAAGGAAACAGAAGGCAGATGCTCTGTCGGAATACAGTACAGAGTACTTGAAACTCCTGTTTTTTTTGACTCTCAAAATGCGTTGAGCACCAATTTCTGGCCAGAGGGGTTTTGATTTCTTTGTCTCTGATGGTTCTCATCCCATGACAGTTCTTTCTTCTGCTGCTCTACCAAGTGATTTATTTTTTAAAACACAAAGCAAAGGGTCTTGGTACAGTGGTTCTTGAACTAAGGATAAGAATCATTTGGGAAATGTGTTCAAGGGTAGATTCCTGGGCCTCACCCCCCAGAGTGTGGTTTCGGAAGGTTTGAGATGTTTCTAGAAAGGTGCTAGGTGGATCTGGTGCACGAGGTCAGTGGTCCACACTCTGAGAAACACTAGGGCCGGAGCAGGCAGTTTTCTGCACACTGTAATGGCTTGAACAATGGCCACCCAAGAAGGTAGGTCCAAGGGCCAAACCCCTGTACCTGTGAATGTGACCTTATTTGGAATAGGGTCTTTGCAGATGTGATTAAGGACCTTAAGATGAGATCATCCTGGATTTAGGGTGAAACCAATGACTGATATCTTTATAAAAAAGAGAGGAGAGTTGAAACAGAAACACAGAGAAGCCCGCATCAAGATGGATACAGATATTAGCGTGATGCAGCCTCAAGTCAAGGAACACCGAGAGCCGCAGGGAGCTGGGAGAAGCAAGGAAGGATCCTCCCCTCGAGACTTCAGGGAGTGTGTCCCTGCTGACTGCTTGATTTTAGACTTCTGTCACCTAGAACTGTGAGAAAATACACTTCTATTGTTTTGAACCACCAAGTTTGTGGTCATTTGTTATAGCAGGCACAGGAAACTAACACATGCATATGCCCATTCCGAACCAGAGAGGTGCATCAGGCATGCACTGAGGGTCTGCCCTACTTTATACGTGCTGTAAATAAACCGAATCACATGTTCACTGAATAAGGACCTTTGGGCATTGATCTTTTGTTAAAGGACAAAATTCTGTGATGTGATCAATTTCTTCAACTTCCTATGTTTCAGGAAGTTATATTTTTTCATAAAACTCATATGCAATTCTCTTCTCATTTTTTGTGGCTGTTTGAAAATAACCTATCCAGTTATCCATCAGAACTTGGAACTTTATTTCTGGCCAAAGATTTCTTCTGGCGTTCATTCCAGACAACAAATGCTCTAACATTTTGTTCTAAAAGAATACTAACATCATAACCACCTCAGTTCTTTAGAAAGCACAGATCTCTCCAGGAGCTGATGTTCTTAGGCTTACCTCAAAGTCTCAAAGGATATATGCTAACATCTGTTTGGGACATTGCCCTGCATGCTTCTGCAGACTGCTAAAAAAAAAAAAAAAAAAAAAAAAAAAACTAAACGCAAACATCCTGCAAAGGCAGTCAGAGGACCACTGATCCAATCGTCTCTTGTTGCTAATGGCCCTAAGTCTGTTCAGTGGAACAGCAGGGGATGTCAAAACATCTAAACTAGGAGCTGCTTCAGGGCCCTGGATGAAACTCCACTGACTCAGAGGAGGCAAAAAACATCTTGTGTCTTGATCTCAGCTGGCCTTTTTTTTTTTTTTGAAAGATTTAATTCATTTATTCATGAGAGACACAGAGAGAGAGAGAGAGGGAGAGAGAGAGAGAGACAGACACAGGCAGAAGGAGAAACAGGCTCCATTCCATGCAGGGAGCCTGACGTCAGCTGGCCTTTAGTCAAGGGTCTCAAACTCAAATGCCTATAGGGTTGAGGCAGATGATGGAATGAATATTGCAGGCCAGCTATAAGGCAATAGGGAGTGGTGGGGACAGTGGAAAACAACAACAACAAAAAAATCACATGCCCTTTCTAAAGGGAACCACTGTCACTCATCTCCAACAGAGTGCTGCTGTGTGAAATATGAACCTAGAGTTGTCAAATGGTTTAGTTTTTTTCCCCCGATACTTAAAATTTTTGAGAAAAGTAGGAAGTCCAGATTTTTATGTAGAATGTCTCAACTCTTAAAACATTGTATAAGCAAAAAATAAGTAAAGAAAAAGAAAGACACAGTTTGGAGGCTTCCTGCCACTTTATGATGCTGCTTTAGGTAAAATGTAGAGACCCATTTGCTTGAGCAGACCCCTCCAGAAGTCAGTAGGAATGCTAGCAGAAGTGTTAGGAAGCAATGAATGTGTGTGTGCATGCACATGTGCACTTTTGCCTACACTTGCATGTACAGATTAAGTAGATGCCTTATTGTATTCACTGCTCCAGGAAACTGGCAACCTCATCATAGAGACAAAATGTAGTCAGGTGAAACATCTAAGAAGAAAGTATGTTTGGGGTACTAAATGATAGAGTCTAGACTAGTGCTTCTCAAACTTCAATGTGCACATGAATCTTCTGGGAATCTTGTTAAAATGCAGATTTTGATTCAGTTAATCAAGAGTGGGGCCTGAGACTATAATAAGCTCCCAGGTAAGGCCATGCTGCTGGTTCCAGGACTACACTTTGAGTATTGAGGTTCTAGATCAGTGGTTCTCACACCTGAGAGGCTCTTACCTGGAGGGCTTGTGAAGACAATCCACAACATGTCTGATTCAGTAGGTCCAAGGCAGAGCCTGCAAATTTGGATTTCTAACACATTCCCAGCATGCTGATGCTGGGAATTGTACTTTGAGAACCCCTGGTCTAGACTGTTAATACTACAAGTATTTAGAGAAACTACAAACTTTTGCAGGGCTATTCCCCTAACATGAGCTCCAGTCTGTGCAGTTTCTCTTCCTAACTAGGAAAGCACAAGCCTCACAAAAGCATATAATATCTGCAGGGGTCCTACCCTGCGCTTGGAGAGGCGTTCTCTGGTCTCTCCCCTGACCCCTACCCCTGTTCCGACCTAACCCTGCAGCAGAGTATCTTGTTTGATTTTCTTCACAGCATTTATCATTCATTATCTGAAATGGTCTTACTGGGGTTATTTGCTCTATTAAGGTATAGTTTACATAAAATATGTATTACATAAAATAAGTCCTCCAAAAGTTGAGTTCAATGAATTTTGACAGATAAATACACTGTATAACCTATATCCCTATCAAGATCTAGAACATTCCATGGCCTCAGAAAATCTCCTGTGCTCCTTTCTAATCAGTACCTATTTTGCCTCTCCCATCTCCAACTCCCCAGACCAGCACCCACTGTTGTCTTTTATCATCACAGAAAAGCTGTCTTGCTTGTTCTTGTACTTCATATAAATGGCATCATACAGTATGGCTCCTTTTACTCCACATAATGTCGGTAGGATACCTCTGTGTTGTTGCATGTGCGAGCATATTGTTCCTTCTCTGTGTATACTAATTAGTGCTTTATTGTATAAATATATACCACAATTTACTTCTCTAATCACCTATTGGACATTTAGGTTGTTTCTGGGTTTTGGTAATTATGGCAAAGGCTGTTGTGAACATTCATATACAAATCTTGGTATGAACTTCTGTTTCCTTTCTAAGAGTGGGGTTTCTGGATTATAGGATAGATGTATGTTTAACTTCATAACAAATTTTCCAGCAGTTCTCTACCATGGTTGTACCATCTTACACTGCCACCTGGGAAAAGGGAGAGTTCCAGTTGCTTCTCCTCCTTGTCAGCACTTGGAACTGCCAGCCTTTTAAAAAGTTTTACCTATTCTGGGGGGGTATATGTAGGTGTTTCTCATTGTGGTTTACATTTGCATTTCCCCGATGACTAATGATGTTGCCTTGTTGGAATTTTTAATTTACTTATATTTTTGTCTTATGTTATAATTACTAATATTCATGTCCTATTACAATATAAGCTAAGTAGTAACTTTGTCTATTTTGTTTACCAATATATACCCACTGGCACAACAAGAGTTTTTCTTCAACATGTATTTGATGAATGTTATTCATTATAAGTAGTGTCAATATCAATTACCTACTGGCTTCATAGGCAAAATGGTTGAATAGCCATTATTCTAGGGATGTAGTTGACAACTCTTTCTGAAAAGGGAACAGCATAAGCCTACTTTGTGTCTGGAACCAGGGTGCAAAATGGTCAGCCATAATTACAGTCGCTGAAACCTGCCTGGTAGCTGCAAGCAATGAGAGGTCATGGAGCCTTGAACTCTAGGGACAAGTTAGTGCTGGGACAGAGTTGTAGGAACAGGCTTAAAAAATGATCTAGACAGAGGAGGTAACACGGACATCAAGTTAGGACCTCACAGGATCATTACTGGGGGAAACATTAGGAGCAGACGGGTGAACTGTGCCAAGGGTCAAAACAAGAGCAGGTCAGCACCAAACCCACTCCAGTCAATTTAAATGGTGAAAATGGACCAGGAATCTAGTCAATTCTTATAGGGTTGAAGTCCAGAAGTAAGAAGCATACAAGATAAACTACAAAGAACCCGAAAAGTCAGACAAGACTGCAGGTGTGGAAGCAATGTGGCATCAGGAGTCTTGAAGATATTCTTACCAAAAGGATTTCCAATCAAGGTGGCAGCCTGAGCGCTAAGCCCACCACCTCCCACCATACACAAAGAAATGCAAGATAAAACATTCTTTAAAAGTCATATCAACGTATTAGTGAGCTCAAAACAAGGAAAGACATTTTCTAGGTGCTAGAGATGAGTGGGGAGTGGGAACTGGAGCCATGTTTGGAGTCTGAAGTCTGTCCCCTAGTAGGACCCCAATCAGATCTGTATCTGAGGAGCTAGAATCTTAAACTTCTAGGGAAGGGAGCAGAGGTTGCAGAAGCCCTACACAGAGAGGCAGCAGGGATAGGACCCTTTCAGCAGAGTGAAAACATCTAGCACCCAGAAATTAAACCAAAAACTGGTTGATAATTGATAGATACCATACAGGCCTGCAGACTACAAAATTACATAATCACCCCAGAGGAATGCCTCTGCATCCATGGCATACACAGAACTTTGCACAAGGCCTTTCCTGCTGAAACTCACCAACAAATACTTTAAAGCCTCGGAAGAAGAAATCCCACACGTTACTATAGATAATGGGTCAGTGTGAAAGGGTATGTTATACAGTAGAATAGACAGAAGGAATAGGATCCGTAAGTTAAGAATGGACCTCACTGAAACAGAAATAGTTGGCTTTGAGAAAGAACTGAATATAAACTTGAGAGATGAAAAATATAGCCATAGAAAAAAATTAAAAACCTGAAAGTATCTGATAAAATGTTAATCACCTTTGATCCAGTAATTCTACTTCTAAGAATTTATCCTAAGGAAACAATCTGAAATTCGAAGATTTATGTACAAAAATGTGCAGTGTAGGATTATTTGTAATAGAAAAGCTGGAAGCACTCCAAATGTAATGGAGGAATAGGCAAGAAAACCATGCAATGAAAGGAAAAGTTGTGGGTTTGGGGGTCAGAGTGACCTAGGTTAGCTGGAGTTATGGAACTACTGTTAGCTGTGGGTCCAGGGCAAATCATTCAAAACATTCACCTTTCTCAGCTCTACCTGGGAACACTAATATCCACCTTCCAGGGTTGATGTGTGGTGATGACATTGAGGTTCTGGTATAAAAAAGACCCACCCTAGATTGTGCCTCTTTTTATCATTATGCTTGCACAATAGGGTCATTTAACGTGACGGTCGCAAGGAATTCTGAGTGACCCAGGGATTGGCAAAACAAACACACACAATACCAGGTTATAAGTGTGATATGATCTCACAGAAGCCTCATTAAAGAATCAGTTAAAGGAAGGAAAATTTACCAGTTATCATTGATTATCTCAGGCTTGAGGAATTATGGGTGATTTATATACTCCTCTCTTGCTCTTCTCTGTTTCCCCAGTTTTGTTTCTGTTTTACAAACAGTGTGCATCACTTTAAGAATTAAAAAGAAAAAAATGCATACAAAAATCCAGTCACCCCTAGTTCTTAGAAGAAACCTTTTGCATTCATCTTGTTGCCTTGGGAACAAAAATTCGTTCTCACTGACTGCTGGGGATGCAATTCAGTAGGGCCTGGAGGTTTCTGGGTGCTTACCTGAAGTTGTATCCAGGGTACAAGGACTCAGTGGTGGTGTTCTTGTCATCAAGGCGGCGGAAACTGTATTTTGGACGGCAGTGATGGAACCAACTGTCTAAGTTGCAGTCCCAGTGGATCTCAATGCCCATGATCCCTCCCTGGAGAAGACAAGGAGATACAGTCTCTAAGTCCTGCTGCACGTGGGATGCAGCCACCAGACCTCTCCCTGCACAGGGATGATCAATAGGGAAAGGTTTTCTCTTTAGAGGGGAACGCAGATTAAAGTTTCAGAGCCATGAGCACAGTCCCATCTAACACAAGCAAGTGGCTGCAAATTCACTTCCCTGCTCCTCCTCCCATCCGAGACACACTGATAGATTTATTTCCCTAAAACACAGCTCCCATAATCTAACACCTGGAATGGCTCCCACTGAAGATTATACAGCTTGTTACACTGGAATTCAGGGCACCCCATCACATATCTTTTCTGCTTTCCCTCCCAACACTCCCCTAGAGAAAGCTCTTATTCCACACTGTCTACACTTTGCCCTAAACACATTTGGCATTTTCATTTCTTTTTTTAAAACAGCTTTATTAAGATATAATTCACATACAATTTGTGCAAGTGCATAAAAGTGTATAATTCAACAGTTTTTAGTATATTCATGTATACGTGTGACTGTCACCATAATAAATTTTACAACAGTTTCATTGCCTCCAATGGAAACCCTTAAACTTTTTGTCAGTGCCCCTTTGCCCCCACCCATCTCTCAGTGCTAAGCAACCACTAATTTACTTTCTGTCTCTATAGAGTTTCTTATTCTGAACTTTCCTATGAATGAAATCGTATAATGTGATCTTTTGTGACTGGCTTCTTTCACTTAGCATAATATTTATTTGTTTGTTTGTTTGTTTGTTTTAAGTGGGGCCTGAATTCACAACCCTGAGACCAAGACCTGAACGAGATCAAAAGTTGGATGCCTAACCTACTGAGCCACCCAGACACCCCCCACTTAGCATAATATTTTAAAAGTTCACCTATATCGTAGCCCCTATCAGTACTTTATTCCTTTTTATGGTGGAAGAATATTCCACCCTGTGGATAGACTACATTTGGTTTATCTATTTACCCTTTGATAGACATTTGGATTGTTTCTACCTTTTGGCTATTGTGAATAATGCTGCTGTGAACACTTATGTATGAGTTTTTGTGTGGACCTGTGGTGTTCTCTTGGGAATATACTTAGAAGTGGAATTGCTGGGTACATGTTGAATTTCTAGATCTCGGCCCCAGTCTTTTTTCTCCCATTGAAATATTTCTCCCACCATCTCTCTAGCTAAATCCTCATCACCCTCCAAGACTCAACTTACATCCTTCCTTATCCATTCAGCCACCCCTGTCTTCCTCAATTCAAAGTGATCTTTCTCTTCTCTGAACTCCTAACATATCTCTATTTGGTACTTCTTTCTTCCTACAAACATGTTTTGAGTGCTATCCTGTTTCACTGAGTCTTAGACACCATCGATTATCAGACACATAATTTTCTTTTTATGTTCTCAGAAGGAAATGCTGCCAATTAGGCCATGAAATTCCATCAATCAAAAGCACTTTTTGACTTCAGAAATATTAAAGTGTGAAAAAAGTATGCCTTTGAATCAGTGAGAGATAGTATTTCAAGACAGGATAGTATTTCAAGCATCCCTAGATGCTAGGGATAAAAAGATGAGTAGCCAGCAGACTCTGACTTGGAGAAAGGGAAAATAATACAGAATAATCACAATTATCCTTTATTGGCAATAAGCCACGTATGCTGCATATTACTGTGAATATCTGATGTTTCTATCACTCAGCATCTAGTTCTTCTGGTAAAAGTGCCTGGAATTTTCTTTGGGAAACATCTCTCCTATCTGAATTTTTTTTTAAGATTTTATTTATTTATTCATGAGAGACACAGAGAGATAGAGAGGCAGAGACACAGGCAGAGGGAGAAGCAGGCTCCATGCAGGGAGCCCGATGTAGGACTCGATTCCAGGTCTCCAAGATCAGGCCTTGTGCTGAAGGCGGCGCTAAACCGCGAAGCCACCCGGGCTGCCCCCATCTGAATGGTTTGAATGGGATTGTCCCCTCTTCCAGCTCCAGGAATGGCAACATGATCTGGGACTGGCCAGTAAGGACCATGTATCCCTCTGGACCTGGTGACTGGTTCAGGAATAGGTATGTGGCCCACGATAGACCAATCAGAGTCCTCTGTGAGACATTTTGCCAGAACCATTAAAAAAAAAAAAAAAAGAAGTCCTCTATTGGTTGGGACCACTAGCTAGAGATTGTAACAATCCAGAGCAACATTGTCCAACAGAATCTTCTGCAATGATGGAAATATTTTATATTCATGCTGTGTAATAAAGCAGACACTGGCCACATGTGGCTTTTAAGTGATGGAAATGTGGCTAGTATGACAGAGGAAATAAGTATTTCATTTCATTTCATTGCATTGCATTTCAGTTAAAGTTTAAATAGCTTCATGTGACTAGTGGCTACCATATCAGACAGCACAGTTGTAGGGCTTTGATGGCTTTGCCTTGACCTGTGGACATTTTGTCTGAGAATGATAGCATCATAAGGAAACAGCAAAGAGATGAAAAGAGTCAGATTCCTAAAGACATCATTTGAGTTCCTGGATGCAGCCATGCCTACTGCTATACCATGCTTCATTCTGTCAACAAATATATATTGAGTGCCCATTATGCTGAGAATTCTACAAAATTAACAAAAGGTTCCAAAGATGCCTACTGTCATGGAATTTACATTCCAGTCAGGGAAGACATACAACAAACAAATGGTATAAAATATATCATATTACCTAGATAGTGCTAGGTGCCAGTGATATAATAATAAACTGGCAAGGGCCATAGAGCATGCTGGGATTGAGGTAGAAACTGAAATTGTCCTTTTAAGATTTTTTTTTTCAGAGAAGGAGGGAGGCAGGGCGAGAGAGAGAGAGAGAGAGAGAGAGAGAGAGAGTCTTAAGCAGGCTCCATGCCCAGTACAGAGCCCAATGCAGGGCTCAATCTCATGACCCTGATATTATGACTTGAACCTAAATCAAGAATTGACTGAGGCACCCAGGTGCCCTGAAATTGTTGTTTTAAAGGTATTGGTAAGGGAAAGCTTCACTGAGCTTATATTTGAGCAAATATTAGAAGCAGGTAAGGGAGACAGCTAATGTCCTGTCTGGGACAAGACTGTTCCAGGCAAAGGAGAAAAGCTGAAGAAAACTCACAAGGCAGGATGTTCTCTGTCTAAAACAAACAAATAAAATCATAAAAAAAGAAAAATCTCTCAGGGTATGAAAATGCCTTGGATGTACTAGAAGGTCTATTATCCTGATGTCTTTATGTGAGTTAATAATACATGGTTCTTTTTTCTTTCTTTCTTTCTTTCTTTCTTTCTTTCTTTCTTTCTTTCTTTCTTCTTTCTTTCTTTCTTTCTTTCTTTCTTTCTTTCTTTCTTTTGCTTAAGCCAATTGAGTTTGGTTTCTTTTTGCCCCCAAAGTGCTTTTTAATTTATTCTTTGCTTACATCGTTTGAGTTAAATGTCTATAAGGTGCAACTGGAAGAATCCTGACTAATCCAAGTATAATAGTCTGAGTAATGGCTCCCTAGGAGCCATTATTAGAAATAATGGTATTCCTAACCCCAGGTCCCAATCCTCAGAATCTTTGGATATATATTATTTTACATGACAAAAGAGACTGCAGATGTGATTAAATTAAGGATTTTGAGATAGGAAGATTATCTTGGGTTATCCAGATGGACCCTATTTATAAAAATGCTCTCTTTGAAAAAGACCAGTATCTTTATAAGTGGGAGACAGAGGGAGATTTGACACAGAATAAGAAGTCAAGGTGACCACTATGTAGCTGGCTTTGAAGCTGGGAGAAGGGGCTATGAGCTTCTAGCTCTAGAAGGTGGAAAAGACAAGGAAATGGATTCTCCTTGAAGCCTCTGTAGGGAGCATGGTCCCACTGATATCTTGATTTTGGCCCAGAGAAACTGATTTTGGACTTCTGACCTCTAGAAGTGTAAAAAAAAAAAATGTGTTACTTTAAGCCACCGAGATCATGTTTGTTTATTACAGTAGCCGCAGGAAACTACTGCCCCATGGGGATGCGTTCACAGGGTTGTTGTGGAATTAGATGAGGTAATACAGGAAAAGGCCTTGGCACTGTGAAGGGATATACTAAATGCTCAATAAAGGGAGCCCTATAACTAATACCCAGGGTATTAGTTATACTATATACTATAACTAATACTTCCTGATCATTTGACATCTTCCATCCCCCAACTCATACCCTCACTGTATAAAGATGCCACCAACCTGAATTGCCACATCTGAAAAATTATCTCCTGTTTGTTGGAAGATATCTCCTAATCGAAAAATGGGACACTGTGGGTTCTGAGTCTTGTGAAAGGTACAAGTGATGTTTATATCTGGCAAGATGTTTCTCCTGTATGCAACGAGAAGCAAACAAACATGTTTTTGAAAACTGAGACCTGTCTCTTTCATAGAAGTGAGCCAGTTGGTAGCTGGGTTCCGTCAGGGGCCCCAGGGATCCTCAGCCCCTGGGATTCACACCCTTGTGTGGTCCCCTCCCACACTGTGCAGGGTTGGTCTGTGTGACCAATAGCATGTGACAGAAGTGATGGTGTGTCACTTGTGAGGTTAAGTCATAAAAGATTGTGGCTTCCATCTTGTTTACTGTCTTGCTTTCTTATTGTCTGTCCCTCTTGGATCACTTGCTCTGGGGGAAGCCAGACACCATTCTTAAGGACACTCAAGCAGTCCTAGGGAGAGGTCCATATAGTGGGGAACTGAACTTCCTGCTGACAACCAGGTGAGTGAGCTTGGAAGAGGATTCTCAGCCCCAGTCAACCCAGAGATGGCTGTGGTCCCCAGTGACAGCTTGACTGCAACCCAAGAGACCCTAAATCACAACCACCTGGTGAAGTCATTCCCACATTACTTACCCACAGAAACTGCATCAGATAATGAATGTTGGTTGTTAAGTTTCTAATTTTTGCTGTACATAATCCATTACACAGCATTAGATAGTTAACAGCTAGACATTCTAGGCACTTAGTGGTGTAGTTGTGGCCAGGGAAGTCAATGTTATTCTTGATGAGCACAGTGAAATTTTCAGCACTGTTCAAGAGTGCAGGCCTGAGAGAGTAAGAGGTGAAATGAGGATCAGTGGGCCAGTGGGACCATAGGTTTCTGGTTTCTGGCTCGGGTCATTGCAATGAGTAAAGAGAAATATAGTCCAGTCCTAAAAATCTAAAAAAGAGGAAAAACTTCTCTCTTCCTGAGGCCCCATGGCATTTACTATAACAACCCTTCTCACACTCTGATGTAATTGTATGTTTAGGTATGTGTGGTGGTGTGCTGGTAAAGGTTTAGCAACCAGGTCTCCAGGGGGAAAAGAAAGGCTATGATATGTACATTAATGATTTCTGTAGTATAAGTACTTCCACTGTGGCTGATCTCAAGCTATTAGCGGGTATCACTGCACTTGGATCTGGGAAGGGATGAGCATAATTGGCTCAGAGTCAATGTAAGCCAGCTCCAGCACACCTCTGTTTGTACCTACCAATAGTCTTGGAGTTCCTGCAGGTTAGGACAATGATTTTTTTAAATCTCAGTATTCCCAGGCTTTAGCAGAGGGCCACACATGTATAGTGGACTCGATCAGTTATAGGTTGATAGACTCTGAGTAGCATAAATTCTCCATCAATTAGAGGAGCTCAAATCCTAGACTTTAGAAAAGCCCACCCACAATCTATCCATCCATTCATTTGGCAAATATTTATTCTGCTGGGTGTGCAGCTGGGCATTGGGAATATAGTGATAAACAAGATGGTCAAGGCTTTTGTCCTTATGTGCTTGACAGTCGGTTAAAGATGGAGAGAACTGGCTGTGGATAAGGAGATACAGCTGGTACCTAATTGTTGGCAGGCCTGCCCAAGTGGGTGGCACATATGTATACTGGAATTAGCACCAGGAAACGATGGAGATATTTGGAAGGAGGCACCAAGAATGATCTACTTTTTATTCCAGAATTGCCAGAGCCCAGCTTTGCCTCTATTTAGGATATAACTACAGAGAACACCATAGTTTTTGTCTGCCCAGGATCCATTCCCCATCTGTTAGAAGCACCTCTGTTTTCTCCCTTTGGGGTAACCAGGTCTCTTCCACTCTTAGCCCAGAAGGTTGGGTAGAGATTAATCCATCTTCTGCCCGTTGTTACAGACCCTAGGGTGGGCAAGTGACCCAGAGCTGGCTAAACAGAATAACCCAATTCTCTTGGCCATAGTGATTGGTTCATAGATTGTCACATGACTTAGGCCAGTGAAAACGTTCTAAGTCTTTTGTAGGAAATACTAGAAAAAGAAAAACTCATTTTCTTTAGGATTGCTAGTAGTAAAGACAGTATAGACTTGGAGTTCCCTGGACCATAGTGTGAGGAAAGCCAAAATGGGAGAAAGTAACTGGGAGGTGGAGGTGGGGACCAGGGTTAGAAGAGACAGAAAGAGAATCTTAATGACATCATTTTTATTTGAAGCCTGGATCAGTCCTTTCCTGAAGGATCCCCTATTTATGGATTCCCCATTTATAGGAATAAAAAAATAACATTTTCCCCCTGAAGCCAGTTTAAATTGTATTTCTGATATTTGCATTAAAAAATCTTATTTACAACAAATATCCACTACATGCCAGACCATTTACTTTTAGAATATCCTAAATCCATGCTTCCTGGGCAAAATCTAAGAATAAGGGGACTTGAAACTCTAAGGATCAAAGCCTTTTATTCCTCTCTTATGACACTCTTAACTTCCTATCCTGAATTCTAATTCTCTGTGCACGTTTCTTATCTCTTTGATTAGGCTGCAAGAGGCTTGGGACCTGCTCCCTATCTAGGTCTTCTTGTATTTTTAGTACAGTCTCTTGCGCACAGTTACATGTAAAATAAATATCTAATGCCTCCTATGTGGTATTGGATGTGTTGACTGAATGATTAAATGAATCGTTTTAGTAATCCCTTTCTATAACATATGAGGAAACTGAAGTTCAGGGAGTTACTTGCCCAAGTAACCTCCTCTGAACTAGAAATAAACCTGGGTGGTACCATTAATGATTGAGGGCCAGGTAGCCTGACACTACTGAATGCTTCCCACCCTGACATGGGAAGCCTTTGCCTGGGCCTTCTAAAAAGTTAGTTTGGGCAATCTTCTCTTTGCCCCAAAGAGGCTGATGGTGTGATCTTGAGTCACATTCATCTAGAGCAAGTATCATCTCATTTAATTCTCACAACAGTCCTGAAAGGTAGGAGCAACTATTATCTTCGTTTTACAAATAAGGAAGCTGAAGCTCAGAGAGGTTAAACCACTTGCTCAAGGTCACATGGAAAGGAAGAGTTAGAATCAGAATTTGAATCAAAGTCTCTCTATTTTTCTGAAATGCACCAATCCCTGTGGTTTCTGAGATTTAACATCGAGTTCTGCTTTCTGGGCCTGACTTGTGTGTTAAAGAGAAGAATCAATACAGGGGATCGACAAATCTGTATGTCACTGTGATCATTTAATTTAAGAAAACTTCTCTTCCTCCCCTGCTCTTTTCCCCATCTTGCTCTCTCCTTCCCTTCCTCTTTCTTCCTTCCCTTCTTGTCACCTTCCCATCCTTAATTGCTCAGTATGGACACTGGCCTGTCAGAGTGGGACCTGCTGTAGTGCTAGAGAAGGGCTCCGGTGGTGCTCTGTAATGTGCTGGGACAGCCAAGGGCCCAGGGGCACCCAAGGGTGCTCAGGGTAGTAATTATTTGCCAGCCAGTACAGAATTATTGCAATATTTTAACAATTAGCATGGTCTTCTCAGAGATCACTGATGTGCCTGGGACAGAGGGTCACCAAGTCAGTAGAACCCAGGACTTTTCATCTGTTCACTGGTCAGGGCCACCCCATCTGTCCCCCAAACTGCAGCTCACCGGGGGGCCTCTTCCACTGCCTCGATGGGACACCAGGCGGAGACTTCACAAGTCTTCTGCTTCCCTTTATACTCTATACACCTTCCGGTCTGGATCCCTGGTTGGTGGTGGGGCGGGGTGGGGTCAAGGGGCCAGAGAAGCACAGGTGTGAAAACCACGAGTGCATCATGAACTCAGTCTCAGCAAGAGACTCTTTACTGCTTTTCAACCCAAGCAGTTTCAGCTTCCACAAAACCCCATTTGAACCACAAACTTACATAAGGCAACCCAAGCAAGGAACACGTCAGACAGTAAGTTAAAAAAAAAAAAAAGGTTCAGAGAGAAGACAGACTGTGGATGCTGTTGGCTTTTTTGGTTTCTTTGCAAGGAAGGAGGAGCTGAGCAGGGTGTGTTCCCTTGCCTAACATAAATGGACTAGAACTTGGCTTCTAAGTGGGCACCTGTCACTTAGGGGTGTACAGCATGGACCAGAGATGTGCAAAGCCACAGAATGAATATGGCACATCTTTCTGGTTAGTGTCACCAGCAGATTCCTGAGGGGGACTCAAACATACACATCTTATGGAACAGAATATAACATCTATATGTCTTTTTTGTTTCTGTGTGTGTGTTATAACCACTGATGGGTTTTTTTTTTTTTTTTTGGTATGTGTGTGTGTGGTCTTTTTTTTTTTTAAATGGTCATGTGCCTCTTTAAGTTTAAACAAGAGACAGAAATTCTGCAGGCTAATCGTGGTACTGTCTCCAGGAGCCCTGGGGATACAATTCATACTCCTCAACATTTGGGGAAGTTCAAGGTGGAAAGCTCCTCAGACACAGATGACAATGTGGGCTATTGGATTTTCCTGTCAATGAGAACCCTGAATATGCTAATTCTGGAGGTTTTCAGGAGCTGCCCTCATTGGGGAATTAGGTCACATCCCTAGTCAAGTGGCTAGTCCTCTGGGGACAGAGTGCAGGCATGGGCCAGCCACAGCTCTCCCATGGCCTGGTGAGGGTGGAAGAAGGCAGCTGAGAGCCAGAGGCTAAAGATTTGAACTTTAAGACATTGTGAATTCACCAAAATACCAGACTACCCACCCCCAGGATCCCAGAAAAGAAAGAGAACATACCCTTGCTTTGTGGGTCCATCCATCCTTTTTTACAGCCCCAGTCATTGGAACAGAGTGTCCTGCGGGTGGGAAACTGCAGAGAGGACAGGATAGTGGGGAGTAAGCCACTTGTGTCTCTAAGATATAGAAAAGCAGATGCCTATGTCCACATGAAAACTTGTACACAAATGTTCACAGCAACACTATTCACAGAGGCCAAAACGTAGAAACAACCTGAATATTCATCAGCTGATACATGGAAAAATAAAGTGTAGTGCATTCATACAATGGGGGTGACTCAGCTGTAAAAAGGAAAGAAGCACTGCACCTGCTACAACAGGATGACCCTTCTATTTTTTTTGTTTAATTTATTTATTAATGAGAGACACAGAGAGAGGCAGAGGGAGAAGTAGGCTCCCTGTAGGGAGCCCGATGTGGGACTCTATCCCAGGACTCCAGGATCACAACCTGAGCCAAAGGCAGATGCTCAACCACTGAGCTACCCAGGTGCCCCAGGATGACCTTTCTAAACATGATGCCGAGTGAAAGGAGCCAGACACAAAAGGACACATAGTGTATGATACATATTGTATGATCTCAGTGATATGAAATACACAGAATAGGCAAATCACAGACAGAAAGTAGATCAGGGCTCACCAGAAGCTGAGGGGCAGGGGTGGGGCCGGGGGAATGACTGCTTATAGGTACAGGACTTCTTTTTGGGGTGACAAAAATGTTCTGGAATTAGGTAGTGATGTGGTTGGTACAACATTGTGAAAATACTAAAAACCACTCATTTCTACACTTTAAAGAGTCCACTTTAAAATGGTGGACTCTATGGTATATGAGTTATATATCAATAAAAAAAGGAAAGTAAATAAAAATCTACAAAGCAGATGTCGAGCAGCCAGGTACCACTCTCGGGAGGCCCTTGGGGTGGAGAGCAGGGGACCTGGTCCAAGCAGGAGCCCTGTGGCTGCTGAACTGGGCAAGGTGACAAGCATAAAGGCTCAACAGGAAATGGGAAGTACAGGGTGCCAGCCAGCATGTTCTCCTGGCCTCAGAAAATGAGGTCAGTTAGGCCTCAGACCTGAGGACAGAAGAGGGAAAAGAGAAATGGGATGGTTAGTTTATGCACGTTTGACTTCGTGTTTTCTAGGAAGCAGGTTTAGTGGACAGTCTTAGGGCAACCAGAGCCTGACCCTGACATGCAAATGGCCTCTGCCCATTATCTTCCTTTGACCTATGCCTCCTCCAGCAACTCTTCTCACCTGCTGACCACTCCAGGTCCCCTCCTTACCTCAGGACAGAACCCCTGCTGTTGGCCTTCTGTCTTGAGAAAGTTTGTCATCACGAAGAAGGAGTTCCCCTGTGGAGAAAGAGGAGAGCAGAACTACTTAATCATAATAATCCAGCTTGCTCCATGCCTGGGGGCAAACCTTCCACCTTTCTAAACTACACTCTAGAAATCTGGTCTGGGAGCAACTTGGACTATGCTGAGGGTTTAATATCAAAGCTGGTTGAGCCGCCCTGCTGAGCCAAGGGAGAGCGCAAGGACATTCAGATTGATTGAGTATTCTTTCTCCATTCCAGCCTCAAAAGCAGCCTTTTCATTTTTTGAACACATTAAATCGAAACGTAAGAGACCTGGGGCGGCGGGGGGGGGGGGGGGGGGGGGGCGGCTGTTGGCTTCATCAGAACGCAGTTCAGATAATCCAGGATTTTAATTAAATAAAAGGCAAAAGGCATCCCACAGCCCAGGAAATAGCTGGAGATCTTACTGACCTGCTGGTAGAAACAGATAGTGGCCTGGGTTTTATGATTTTGCAAAGCACCCCAGCTCCCAGAAGCTGCAGAAGTGCCCTTTTGTCCCTCCAGCCTCCCTATCCGTTCTTTGGTGTTCTCATTCCAACTCTGATTTCTCCTTTTTGACTATCCTACTTTTATTTTCTCTTCTTGCAAATTTAAGCAGTCACATAGCCTTTCCCTGTGATCCACACCCTTCCTTTCTTTGTCATCTATTTCCTTTCCCTTGTGCAAAAATGTATCAGGATGTCTTTCTTCCTGAAGACATTTTTGTTGATAAAACGCCACACAAACAATATAGAAGGGCCAGTCCTGTCCAGGCAGGAATTTCTATGTCCTTCTGAATCTAGGCAGACCTTGCTGACTTGACGGCCCTGCTTCTAAAAAGCTGTGTAGAAATCAATTGTGAGTGAATCAAATCGTGCTTTAAATGCACCAGGACACACTGCTATTTTGAGAAACCCTGTAGGACTTGATAAAGCATAGAATCATTTTTGAGCTGCTGGATCTGACCCAATTTTGCAATTTTTAGGTTTTCTCAGTTGGGATTTTCACAGAGCTTTTTAAAATAGGGCCAGTATTTTTCTAGAGTGAGGCTCCAGTCCCAGGGGAGGGAGGCAAAGGCCCTGGTGACAGCAACCAGGGAGGAGTCCTTGGGAGTTGTTGACAAGTGCTTACCTGCAAGGGGAAGGTGTAATCCGCAGTGTCGAAGACAGTAGACACCATCTTCTTGATTCCATTCTCCAATATCTCCATTTTCACCTCTGCTGTCCCTTTCACCTTGGTGTGTACAGAACTGATAAGAGGCTCTTTCTGTTGGTACCGCTTGTCACTGATTAAAGCGAAGCTAAATGGCAGACACAGAAAAGTGTCAAATGGTTTTCTCAAGGGAGGCACAATGCAGTGGTTTTGCATGTAAGTTCTGGAGGATGCCTCTTTTCAAATCTTAGCTTTGCTGAGTGACTCTGGGCAGGCTACTTGCCTTCTCTGTGACTCATTTTCCTTATCTGTAAAGTGGGAAGAATAGTCATACCTACCTCAGGAGTTGTGAGGATGGAATGAGGCATGTGTGCAAACTCTTCAGCATAGTATCCAGCACATTGTGAGCATTCAGCACGTGAAAACTATTGCCCCTAATGTCAACCTCCAATATTTCCTAATATAGACCCTAGGGCAGCTTCTTAAATCCCAAAGCCCAGCTCTAGATTGGTCCATCTGCATTGTCCTGGGGCTGAGCAACATATCAACTGTGTCCAGCAGGTCAGCCACCCATTTTCCAGAAACACACACCTGGTTTATAAATAATACTGATAATCGTAGTTGCCCTTTACGGAGCACTTAACACATGCCAAGGGCTTTACATGCCTCATCTGTTTAATCTTCGTGGCAATAGGAGATAGTTACTGTCATCTCACTTTTGTAGATGAGAGAATGGGCTCAGAGAGGTAAAGCAAACTGCCCAAGATAACCCAGATTGTCAGCGGCAGAACTGAGGTCCTCTGTTGGTCTGCCTTCGAGTCCAGAGTCAGACCTCTTAACCACGAGCTAGGTTTGTTCTGCCTCAGTTTCCTGCCTTTGATCAGTTCATTAGGTGTTAATACCTTCTTTAGAATATGAATCGAAATGATTATAGTGGGAGGAAGAGAGGGAGAAGATGGAATTAATCATTAAAAATGGTAGATTCTATCGCTATTTGTTTTCCCTGCTTGCATTGCCCTGAATAATTCTGACTTTATTTTAAATACTTTATTCATTCAGCACGGATTTATTTGGTCTCTTCCCTCAGGCCAGCCCCTAATATCTGAATGATTTAGGAAGTGTAATCCAGTGGCTGCTAAAAGAGGAACTAACCTTGGGAAACCAGCACAGAGTGGGCCAAGACTTGGTCCCAGCTCTTTTCAACCTTGGCTGTGTATTATAATCCTCAGAGAGCTTTCAAAATTGCAACTCCCCAGTCCCATCCCTGGAAATTCTGATTCAGTAAGTCTGGGGCGTTATCCAAGTACTTATATATTTTTAAAAAGTTTATTGGGTGATTTTAATGCACAGCCAGGGTTGAGAGCCCTGGGAGACTATTGAAAAGATAGCTCACATTTGTTTTTTGTTTTTTATTTTTTAAAATTTCTATATGTATTTTTTTTCTTTGTAAGTCCTCTTTTTAAAATTTAAATTCAATTAATGAATGTATAATGTATTATTGGTTTCAGAGGTAGAGTTCAGTGATTCATTAGTCTTATATAACACCCAGTGCTCCTGGGTGTTATACTATATGTTGGCAAATCGAACTCCCATAAAAATAATACATAAAAAAACCACCCAGTGCTCATTATATCGCGTGCCCTCCTTAATGTCCATCATCTGGTTACCCCATACCCCACTCTCCACCTCTACATCGACTCTCAGTTTGTTTCCTATGATTATGAGTCTCTTTTTTATTTATTTATTTATTTATTTATTTATTTATTTATTTATTTATTTATTTATTTTACGATAGTCATACACAGAGAGAGAGAGGCAGAGACACAGGCAGAGGGAGAAGCAGGCTCCATGCACCGGGAGCCCGACGTGGGATTCGATCCCGGGTCTCCAGGATCGCGCCCTGGGCCAAAGGCAGGCGCCAAACCGCTGTGCCACCCAGGGATCCCTGATTATGAGTCTCTTATGGTTTGTCTCTCTCTCTGATTTTGTCTTGTTTTATTTTTCCTCTCTTCCCCTATGGTCCTCTGTTTTGTTTCTTAAATTCCACATAGGAGTGAGATCCTATGATAATTGTCTTTCTCTGATTGACTTATTTCACTTAGCATAATGTCCTCTAGTTCCATCCACATCATTGCAAATAGCAAGATTTCATTTTTTTGATGGCTGAGTAATATTGCATTGTATATATACCATATCTTCATTATCCATTCGATAATGGATGGACATCTGGGCTCTTTCCATATTCAGCTGTTGTGGACATTGCTGCTATGAACACTGGGGTACAGGTGCCCCTTCAGATCACTGCATTTGTATCTTTGAGGTAAATACCCAGTAGTACAATTGCTGGGTCATAGGGTAGCTCTATTTTCAACTTTTTAAGGAACCTCCATACTGTCTTCCAGAGTGGCCGTACCAGCTTGTATTCCCAGGCAGCTCACATTGGCATTATGAAGTACATTTAAAGAAGTGCATCTCCCAGGACCCCACAATTTCGCTCTTGGGTATATTCCCTAGAGAAACCCTCGTCCATATATCCAAGGAGTTATGTATAAGAATGTTTATGGCAGCCTTATTTGTAAGAGGGAAAATGAAATAACCTGAATTCCTTGAACATTAAATAAGTAAATAAATTGTTGGATTCATACAATAGGGGTGCTCTAGTTACAATGAATGGAGAGCTACTTATACCAATATGGAAATAATACAATGTTGAGAAAATAAAACATGTCACGGTATGACATAAAATTTAAAGAAATCCAAAACAGCATTCTACACTCAAACAAAGGCCTGTCCATGAATGCTCACAGCAGCACTATTCATAATAGCCAATGGAAATAGCCTACATGTTCAACAGTAGATGAATAGAAAAACAAAATGTGGTCTACCCAAACGAAATGTTATTCGATTATAAAAAAGAATGAAGTGCTGAGACATGTTATACTGTGCAGGAACCTCAAAAACATTATGCTAAGTAAAAGAAGACAGATGCGAAAGGTAACATGTTGTATGATTCTATTTATATATGAAATAATCCAGAATAAGTAAATCCATAGAGACAGTAGATTGATGGGTGCCGGGCTGGGGAACCAAGGTGACTATGAATGCGTGTGGTTTTCTTTTTGGAGTGGTGAAAATGTTTTGGAACTAGATAGAGGTGGTGGATGCACAACAATGTGTATTACTAAATGCCACTGACTTGATCACTTTATTTTTTTAAAGATTTTATTTATTTACTTGACACAGAGAGAGAGGGAGAGAGAGAGAGCACGCACGCATGAATAAGCAGGAGGAGCAGCAGAGGGAGGAGAAGCAGATTTCCCACTGAGCAGGGAGCCTGATGCAGGGCTTGATCCCAAGACCCCGAGATCATGACCTGAGCTGAAGGCAAATGCTTAATGGACTGAGTCATCCAGACGCCCCATGACTTGATCACTTTAAAATGGCCATTTTATATGATATGAATCTCACCTCAATAAAAAAGGGAAAAAATGTTTTTGTAGCTATAGACATATGTTGTAGAGATATAAAAATGAACACAGAATGACAAACACCAAATTCAGGATGGTGTTTATAAGGGAAGAAGAAAGAAAATGGGATCTGAGCTGCGTCATCAGGGAACTAAAACTGGATTAGTAATGTTTTATTTCTTAAGTTGGAGAGTGGAACGTGGTGTTTATTATGTTATTCTCAGTATATTTTAGTATTTATATACCATTCATTTATTTTTTTTAATTTTCATTTATTTATGATAGTCACAGAGAGAGAGAGAGAGGCACAGAGACATAGGCAGAGGGAGAAGCAGGCTCCATGCACCGGGAGCCCGATGTGGGATTCGATCCCGGGTCTCCAGGATCGTGCCCTGGGCCAAAGGCAGGTGCCAAACCGCTGTGCCACCCAGGGATCCCTATATACCATTCATTTAAAAAGCTCATCAGGGGCACCTGGCTGGCTAGATCAGTGGAGTGTGTGTGGCTCTTGGTCTCGAGGATGTGACTTCCAGCCCCATGTTGTGTGTAGAGATTACTCAAAAATGAAATCTTAAGAAAAATAAAAGAAAAAAGAAGTCTCATCAAGAAGGACATTGGGGCTAGAGATCCAGGTTTTAGGTCCAATCAGCGTATATGAGAAAGAGCTATTTCATACAATTCCATAGACAAATATAATACTTGTTGGACAATGTATTTCAGCCTAGCATCACAATGTGAACATGATCTATGCAGTGTTTTTGTGTCAGACGTGGTGACATTCTCCCAGAATAACACTGGGTCAGTTTGGCCCAGTGCTTGGGAAGCTCAATTCGAAGCTGCCATATTCATTCCAGAATGCACAACATATTACAGGTCAGCTGTAATGGAACCCAGCCCTCTCATAAGTCAGAAAATTTGTCTTTGTATGATAATGAACCTACCATATAAGAACTGCATCAAAGGAAAAAGGAGGAAAAGAGTTGGCAGGATCCTGCCCGAAGGACCATCCCTAAGACTCAGACAAGCCATGTCACCTCTGGCCATGCGTGTAGTTCCTGAGCAAGGGGAGGGCTGCTTGGCTCCCTGATCCCCATGATATTTCAGCTCGAAGAAGTTGCGATTCTGTGCATGCTGAAGACGGCAAACCTACCGGTCCCTCTGGCACAAGGGCAGGAAGGAGCTGGGAGTTTATTGACACCTTGTAGGATGAGGAGAAAGAGATGGTGCAGTGGAAAGCTGACAAGACTGGGGAGGTAGAAGGGGAGTTGCATATACTCTGAATATGAAGGGCTTTCTCTATTGGCACCTCAGGGGGCCCGGCCTCCAGGTCAGCCTGGCGAGAGAATCCTCAAAGGGCCGCAGGTAGGAAGCACTGCTTAGCGGAGCCTGGCTCTTCTTCACAGCACCTGAGCTCACTGAGTAAAGGTAACTCTACAATGAAAGGATAGGTAGGATCTGAAAGTGGACCATCCTCAAATCTGGTTTACTGACACTTAGCCCAAGGCCAACATTTTCTTGGCCCCTAAATGAAACCGTGGGCCCTGGACACTGATATCCTTTGTGCCTCACAGAGAGGTTGGGCCTGCAGCCTCTGCTTTATTGTGTTTAAAACCCTAAGAGAAGAATCCAATTGTTTCCACCCCTGGCCCACTCTGAGGTGGGAGGACAGGGGCCAAGGACA